TGCTGCTGCGTCTGGCTGTGTCTGCATTTTCAAAAATATTTCAACATGCAGGAGAATAGGTGCAGCAGGAGTCCCTTCAATTAAAGCATTTTTGAGCAATGTGCTGGCAAGATTTTTAAATACAAGAAAACAACTAAACAGAATGCAAATGTTCTGAATATGTCGCTTTTTGGGGGAGAATGTGAAAACATTTGAGGAAAATCAAAAGGGGACAATAGGTCTCTTACCAGCCAGAATATATATATATATATTTTAATTCCTTTAGCGCCTTGGGAAATCAGTGCATCTGGTGTCTGATACACACATTTCTGTGCCTTGCTGCTTGTTAAATTTCTGCAGTACACACTCACACTAGACACACTTGCAAATGGGATTTGTATTTGTGTTGTCAGAGCAGTGGTGGGACAACTTGAGGGTGGGTGTTTATAGTCTTGTAAAAGGGGACTGCAGGAGAAATGTGGCTGTTTTCTAAATCTGTAATAGAGACTGGATTGTATGGTAGAGTGCAGGAGGGCATAAAGGAAGGAGGAATAATAGTGAGAAAGGCAGCGACAAGGCCACATGGTGTGAACTTCTCACTTCAGTGCTCCACAGTGCACACAGACATGAATGTGCAAACAGAAAATGAGGCATGAATACACATGAATGAGCACAACAGTGAAGGTGAAGATTGGTGGGTTGGGACAAGCTTGAACTTCTCACTGGTCAAAGGTTTAGTGAGCGAATAGACACACACATACACACACACACACACACACACACCTACCTCTGCATCAACTCTACTACCATGACCCATAGGCAGCTCCGATGGCCAATTTCCAATGTAAATTAGCCGTCTCCACACTGAACATGTCTGAAATGCCATTACTCATGCAGATATTGTGAAATCAGCCATTAGCGGCAGAAACCTCATGAAAGGTTGTTAGGGTCTGGACTGGAATACTAATTATGAAAGAGCTTCACTGCTGAAGCAAAGGGGCAGGGACTTCAGTAGCCAGTGGTGACCAACTAGCAATTATAATAAACATCTCGAATCTATTCAGCGCACTATATATATGTGTGTGTGTGTGTGTGTGTGTGTGTGTGTGTGTGTGTGTGTGTGTGTGTGTGTGTGCGTGCGTGCGTGCGTGCGTGCGTGCGTGCATGTATATATGAGTGCACATGCCTGCTTTGGGTAAGCTTTCTGTACAGTGAGGATACATACATGTTTAGAACCAGCTTGAGTATGTGTGTGTATGTTCAAGGTTGTCTCTGCAAAAAAGAAAATACTATAAATATTTTTTTGTTCATTGATACACTATGGAAGTAACAGAAAATAGAAAATATACAGGAAAGGCAGGCCAAGAGCCACCCAGCTAACAGCTGTGTAAGGAATCTGCGACGCACAGAGAGGCTGTATTTTGTGACTCTGCTGTTACAACATAGCATTGGGGAAATAGTGACATATTCCTGCTGACTCAAAATGAATTATTAATTTGACACTGAACATTGGAGAAAGTAATTGCAGTATATTGGGAGAATAAAAAGGCTTTTCTCATACTGTTGTCAAACTCATGGGATGCACCCTAGCACTATTGAACCCTTTTCAAAATGTCCAATATGGTGAATTTCAGAGCGCCCTATTGATAGTAGCAGACTCCACCAGTAGTAAAATACATTATCTAAGTGGAAGTATGAATAGAACAAGGTGAAAATACTAATTTCACAGTGTTACATTGTCATATAATTCATATTAATGGATTATTAATGGTTATAACCGATGTATTAATGTATACACAGTACTTGACTGATCCACATGGAGCTATTTCAATTATAGTACTTCATATACGGTTAGGTAGTTTTAATTATGACATTGCATCACATTTGACAGGCTGATCATATATTTTGGATGGAAATTTTGATCTAAAAACTAGTCATTGTAACTTTTCTTAAAAGGAATCTGGTGGAGTGAAAAGTGTAATATTCCAAACATTATTTCCCTGTGAGGTGGAGTGAAGTAAATGGAACAACTTTACTGAAGTGCATGCACCCATGAAGTTATACATGGGTAGTAACCTATTTAAAAAAAACAAAAAAAAACACTTGACATCTATTTTTTGTATTTGTTTGCTCTAAAGATATGGGCTTCATCCATGAACTTAACAGTGCAAGTTCATACCAAGGATTATAGGATGATAATCGATTGGCTAGCTGCTGCAGAGAAGGTCCAGTGCGTGTGTGTGTGTGTGTGTGTGTGTGTGTGTGTGTGTGTGTGTGTGTGTGTGTGTGTGTGTGTGTGTGTGTGTGTGGACATTTGGAGCGCTATTCTAAATATGTCCACTCATCTCTAGTGTCACCAGGAGCCCCGGGCTCACACCATGACGTTAATAGTTTGACAGGCCCTACTGCTCGTCTCGCTTTCCCTCCTTCCATCTGCTCCTCTTTTTCTACTTCCCTTCGGCGTTCCCCCTCTTTCTGTCTTTCTATAACTTTGTGTCGCTCTCTCTCTCTCTATCTCTTACTCTCCGACTCTCGTCTCTTTGTGCCTTCAGACAAATTTCGGCCACAGCCATGATACAACCTGTGTAGAAATTTTTTTTTTTAAAGAAACAAAAGTCTACTTTTTTTTATCTCTTTAGGTTTTGAGCAGGTGGGAAAACATTGGCAAATTATCCCATTGTATTGTGTATATTCTGTGTTTTTTCTTAGTGTCAGTTTATTTCTCATCCACTCTTGTGACACTTTGTGTTCACTAGCATAGTGTGTTTGAGGGATGGGTTGGTTTACAAGTACTCATAAAAGATAATACACTTTTTCCAGTACTGTCCATTAAGTGCCTTACTATCCATGCAGACCAATACCTTTAATTGTTAACACACTGCAGGTGTAATAAGGTAGCTTGAACTCCCATCCCTCCTCCGTCCACTATTAAAGCATGGAGGATGAGACTCTTAAACAGCAATCTTGCATGCGTGGTCTGTAATGGTGATTGTGTTGGCAACCTGGTAGTAGTCCAGGTAGTCCACTCACCATTAAGTCAGTTGCATGCTAGCCGTGGCACCAGGCAACTTACTGCAGAGTTTCCAGTTAGAAATAAACCAGTCCCTAAGTCATCCTCCAGCAGTCCTGAGTTCACAGGCAGCCAGTAATAAAAAAAATAGCTAAAAAGCTGATGAGAGATTTTATTGTTGCTAGGCTCTCTGTGGCAGCTGTCTAATGCGTATATATCATATTGTATATAGTGTATCATTTTTATGGATCTTAGTCTTCTCCACTGATTTTTTTTTTTTTTTCTGTCTGGGTTGTGAGACCCACGAATTGAAAGACTACATATTTCCATAGATATTATATTTCTAAAAGCCATGTTATGTCATTATTATATATAGGTTGGACAGTTTGTTAAAGGACATAAACCTGCGTTTAGAAATATTGGAGATATTAACATTGAATCAAGATGAATACTATCAAACTCACTGAGAATCAACACCCCAATCTACAGCTCTACCTGCCGTTGAAAGAAACTAATTGCATAAATAATGTATTTAAGTACAATTTTGAGATGCTTATACTTTACTTCAATACTTACATTTACTTTTACTGAGCTACAATAATGATGTTAATAATAATAGTAATAATAATAATAATGCTACACTCTGATATTATGAGTACTTCTTCTACAATTGTTTAGTTTGCCATTTAAAACAAAACTGTTTGTATATGGAGCAGCATATGTAGCAAGCCAAACAAAAGTGACATGAGCAAAGTAATTTCTTATTTGTGGGTTCACTGTATTGTAGATATAAGACTAGTCCAGTAAATGTAAATGTCCATAGTTTTGCATGGAAATAACTTTTTTCCAGTATCCAGTAACTGTGCCTCCTGTGCGTTGGTATGCACATGCCGTCAAAGCCTCATGTGGGTGTCACCAGAGAATCATCAGTAATGGCAAACGGGAGTAGTACGACTTTCAGGGGAACCTCCGTGGAATAATACTGTACATAGTGGAACAGAGACGGGTTGGTGCATATAGGTCTGGAGGTATGACTGTACTATGATTCGGCCTGGCCTGAATGGTCACCAGGGTCGGGCCGTCATTCAACCCCCAAATGGGGCCATACCTCTGCCTCTTATTTGGTCCACGTCTCTGCCAGCGAAAATATGCTGCCCTTGCACCCAAGAAATGCGCTTGGCTGCAAGTCAGGATTCTCACTGGCTGGTGATTCATGCTGTAGAGAGGTGTGTTTCCTGAGAAGCTCTGATTCCTCTCGATGAGCTATGATCACACACACACACACACGCACGCACGCACGCACGCACGCACGCACGCACACACACACACACACACACACACACACACACATGTCACCATTTATGCGATGTACACGCGCATCACATAATGGTCAGAGAAGTGAGCTGAGCGACAAGTCAGGAGAAAGTCTGTTCCCCTGGAATGAGCAATGATCAAGAGGCCTACAAACACACTCACACGCGCACACACACACACATTCACACTGCGAGCTGTATGATGAGTTATAATGATGAGTGAAGGTGTGACGGATTGAGCCTTCATTCCAAGTTTGTCCACGGTGTGAATAATGGCTCTGGAAGTTGTCCAAGCTTCCTGTTTTCATGTTTTTCATTTCCCCTTCCGTCTGTCCTGATACTCACTTCTGTGTTTTTTAATCTATCTCCTTTTAATTTCCCATGTTTTAATGCTGTATTTGAATATTTTTGAGTCAAAGAAAGAGACCTTTACCCGGCTATATGAAAATGTGGAGAAGGTAATGGCTATGTGAAGTGATTAGAAAAAAAAATGAAATTACAAAAAAGCATTGTTGAGGCAGGATGAATTCACAAGTGTGTTTTCTTTTTGGTCATCACTCATTGATAGGAAATAGGTTAGTTATAGTATGAAGTAGGTTACTATAGCAGCTGCACTTAGATGTAATTTCTAAGCTATATCAGTGGACGCATTCTGACTAAATAGGAAAAACCTTCACTGGAATGTTACTTATCAGGGAGATTTATTCATATATACAAGTAAGCATTGATCAAGACACATTTCTTAGTTTGTGGTAACATTCCCACTGGTTGGATTGGAAAATCATTGTCTTTTATTGCAAGAAAGCAAATTATCTGGAAGGGATTTGATTTTAACACTAGAAAAGTAGAATATGCTTTGAAATTATCACTGGAACAAGTGGCCCCAAGTGGAATTGACACCAAAATGTCAGATGAAAATATGCCATTATTTACAGGTGATCAAGATCTATTCTTCTAATTAACTACAAACTGCAATGAACTTTTAACACAGTTACACTAAATAATAACAGTAATAATAGTAATGGTAACACAGTATAGGCTATAAAGTAGTAAAAGTAAAATGGCAAATTTTATCATTACAACATACAACTTCATGTTAAATTGTAACAACTGATTTCAAGATAGACATCCATTAACAATCAGTAGATTTTGTTTCTGAGTTTCATTTCCATGATTGGGAATCAACCCTCACTTCAATTTATCAAACAGATTTAGAACTATAGACTATTTATTCATGAATGAAATCTCCTCCTCGCAAATAAAAGGGTGCTCGTGCCAACAGTTTTCATCCCTCCACGTGTAGTCTGTCTTGTCGATGACACCACAGTTGTCAGACATGGGCATCTCAGGCTGTCTGCCGTCCTTCCAGTGGCTGTAGTACACTGTCTTGTCACACCAAATCCAGAACCCAAAGACACGACTCTGCCTCAGACCGATCCAGAATGGACCATCACCAGAGGTGTGATTAAGCCATTGTTCTACAGCTCTCTGATCTTCACTATCCTCAATCTGCAGCAGGCTTGTGTGGTTATCCGCGCAGTAGTTGAAGGCTTTTTCCCAAGTTAAATTTAGGCGGACGACTTGGATTCTCACTTTGCCTGAAAAGCAGGCAAATGAGGGAAGTAAGATTTTCAGGTTATAACATAAGTTAAACCACATAATTCACACATTTGATGCGTTCAGCCGTTCCTCTATTATTTTGTTGTTTCTTTACTTCTTTGGAAGTTTGTAATTGTTTCTTTTCTTGTGTTGTCAGTTGCTCTTATAATATATAAGATATAAAGCACTTCAAGCTTCCACAATAATGCAACTCCATTTCAGGTTTATTAAAATACCTGTTTGTATTACTTGTTTATTGCATACCTTTGGAACAAAATGTAGGTTTGTCTTCATCATCACACTCAGCTCCTGCCATGGACATATTTGAGTTTGACAGAGCTGAGCACTTTATGGATTGATTGGAAACATCAGAATCCCAATCTCTGAATGTTGAGCAGCTGTTGTCCACCCACTCCCATTCATCATGCAGGAGTCCAATCCAAAAGGTTTTGTTCTTTCCTTCCTCAATCACTTGTGTGTTTTGCATTTCATTACTGATGCTAACCAAGTCAGTGAAGTATCTCCTGCAGTACAGCTGTGCCTGACACCAGATCTTTTTTTCATTTTCAATCAGGATGTAATTATTATCTGCAAAAACAAAAATATTATTATTTTTTAATTGAATTATTATAATTTATAAGGGTTTGTGAAGTGCCACTTGGTTTCACTTGTAAGTTAATCATATAATCATGCTGAATTAACTAAAAACAAACACACAAACAAAACTTTTCTCTCAGGGAAGAGGGGCAGGAAGTCTCAACATTCAGGACACCCTCTTTAATTATAAGAAAATAGTCTGGACACCTAGCTTGCGACCTAAGCTGTCTTTGAACCATCCCTGCTGTTTTATATTACTTTGATTGAAGTCTTCTTTTTAGCTAAAACTATGCAACATCAAAATAAAATCAAATGCTGTATGTTGAAACTTACCCTTGTAGCACATGAAATGCTTTTTGTCTGAACAGTTAAAACCTGTCCACTTGCTCTGTTCAATACCTCCACATATTGGCATCCCATGTGTTACAGTCACATCTGATTTATTGGACATGAAAGGGATGCCATTTGACCAAGTGGTAACATTCTTTCGACTCTTACGCAGACCAAGCCACGGGCTTCCTTGGAGATTACCCACAAACTTATTTAGGAAATCGCCGTCATCTTTATCATACAGAGTTACAAATGACTCATTTGTGCTGTTACAGTTTTCCAATGACACGTTCCAAAGTTTCTCTTGGTCAATAAAACGGAAAACTCGCAGACGATTTGATGCAAATGTAAAGTGAACAAATCCTGTAAAAATGGAAGAAAAAGATATTATTATTGCACTGTACTTAGAATTACTGCAGTCTAGAAGAACAAACAAACATCATCAATGAGACAACTGGACTGTTAAAAAATGGAAGTGTACTAGGTTAAAAGATACAATGAAAACAATATGTCACACACTGACTACAAAACCTCTCTTATGCATACACTAAGTAACTTGTGCAGGTGTTGCTTGTTATTAAAACAGCATGTCAGTGTGTCTTATTCAAAAACTACTGATGACAAAAGATATTTGGGGGGAGAAATATTTGGAGGTCCTAAACCTCTTAGACTCGCATGCGTGCACAACAACACCCACTGAATATCATGGGGAGACCAACACCAAGAGAATAAGTCCTTACCTGAACACCAGAATGAACAACACAAGGGTCATCTTTCATAGTTATAAGGTTTGTGTGGTGGAAAGACTAAATGAAAAGCAGAGGATAACAAAATAAAAGTTACTGAACATGCAGTTAACAAAGTTAGGAGTCATAGTGCCGAAGTGAAAAAAATCAACAGATATTATATATATAAAAAAAAAAAAAAAGGTTTAATCCCTCATTCTTAACATATCCATACTGTGCTTACTGGGTTTAAATTCAGGAATGTAATTTAGCTTATCCTAACATCTGTAATGAATTACATTCATTTTTTCGCCCGTGATTTTAAAAAAGTCTCTTACCTTCTGAGGTCAGGGCCAGAATGCTGTCAGTTTGGTGATTTTGCTTCGGTGTCAGGGTTTTTTTATTCTGTCGCAAGGTGATGTAAGCCAATTAAAGGCACCAGCTTTTGTATATGAGTGCATAGTCAAAACAGAGACGGCAAGAAGATTGATGATTAACTAAAGGTAGATCAGCACAGTCCGGCTGGATGACAGTCACACTGTACTTGAGTTAAAGTCTTCCTCTGATGCAGCGTGTCTTAACAACTATGGAAAAAAATATTTAATTCTCTCCTTTTAAATTGAATTTTTTTTATACCAGACAACACACACTGACAGCAAATATATAACGCCAACATACATACTGAAGACGGATGCTTAAGAATCTCAGAGTAGGCCTTGGAACGTTGGTTAGAGCAATAACAAAACACAATGCATACAAGTGTGGACAAAAGAGTTAGGTATCCAATTATTCTGCAGCTTTTAGACACAAAAGGTACATCTGTTTTACTTGCTCCATATTCCCCTTTTCCAGTAACTCACACTGTATTTCCTGGAAAGGCCTATTTGCATAAATTACATGCCACTAATGTCATTAGAAAATTACAAAAGACAATACTGCTCGATTATTGATTAGCAGAAAACCTCAGGAAAACGAGAGCAGGCAAGGCCAGGCAAAGTGTAGACTTCCTCCAGGCTAACATTTCAACATAACTCTTCATATTTATAAAATGTTTATCATTATTAAGGCTCACAGTTTAGATTATTAAAAGGAGTGAGTGCTTTTCTCCGTATTTGTTGTAGTGCTGTTACGTATGCATGAATACTTCTACATGCTGCCTCCTCTATTCCCAGTTGTGACTAACTAAATCTGTTTTTTCTTTACCCCAGTAAATAATAACACACAGCAGGCAACAGACAAATTGTTGTAACTGCACAAATTACTATAAGTGCACTGTCTTAAATATAAAAGAAATACAAAATGCAATTGTAGTAACTCACAAACAAGCATTGTGTGCCATTAAGGCGTCCGATTATGGTGTGTGTGTGTGTGTGTGTGTGTGTGTGTGTGTGTGTGTGTGTGTGTGTGTGTGTGTGTGTGTGTGTGTGTGTGTGTGTGTGTGTGTGTGTGTAAATATGTAAATACAGGACCTCATCTCATAACACATATTGTCGTAACAGTGCTGGATGGATGGCACAAAGCTCCTAAAAGCAAAACACAACAGTTTGAACCAAATGAGCTTTGACTTCATTGTCCAATACTAGGGAGTACTTTTCTATGTGCAGAATACCAGAATACAGTGTTATACATAGTCTCCCTCCATCGCTCTCAGTTTTTGTGCTTCATCACAAAGGTTTGAGATCTAGGAACGGCGCAGAGTCAGAGCCTGCACCAGGAATTATATTGTAATGAAAACGAATGCTGTTTCTTACCCGTTGTCACATCCGTAGCAGCACCCGAGCCTCTGCACCCTCTCTGAATGCTTTACAGGCTATACCTGCCAGTTAGTTACACTTGACTCAGTGCGCAGTGAAGTGAGATGTTGCAGTGTACCTAACAAAGTGTCCACTGAGTGCGTATTAATTAGGGGATTTAGTGACATTTTCACTTGCTGTGCTTCCAAATGAGCAAGTGTACCTTGAAATTTTACTGTGCAGTCCATAGAGAGCAGAGTAGACCCTGATTTATTTGGAAAGGATATAAACCATTTCTACCAGACTATAAACTGTAATTCTATTAAATGCGTCCATGATCGTTGAACCCTGGATCCTCTTATGTGAGAGGGGCACTTTTGGATTTGACAGTGACAAACAGACTTAAAAAGGGAGCTTCCAACCATCAAAGCAGTGCCCATTAGCTTTTCTATGAGTATGCTTTGACAGAACAGTACTGCACAGGGCAATTTCTTGGACCCGAAACACATTTATGGATATAGAATACTAGTATGTATTGTGAAATTCATAGAACCTGGAACGTTCTTCTGTAATATTCCCTTATGGCTGTCCTAAAAGTTAGTTTAAAGACTAAAACCATAAAAAAAAATGTTTTTGTACATCTCATCAAATCTAGTTAATCTCTTACCAGGTATACTGTTATTAGCAGAGATGCATTTGTTTAGTATTCAAATCATGGCACCTGGAGTGGAGCCATCAGACACATACTGTAGGTGTCTATGAATAGCCGTGTGTATCAGGAGATGATATGTAAATTCAACTAAAGTTTGTTTTTGGTTAATATTTACCTGTGGCCTTGCTGAGGGCTTTTAAAGGTCGTGGTAATGTTATGTCTCTATTTGAGATCTGTGAATTTATTTTTAGATGTCATTTCATGTCTTTACTGATCTTAAACCCAAAACTTTGTCATGCTTCATCAAGATTTCCTTTGTTTGTGTAGACGTCTGGTCTGCCTGCTGTGCAGTTTAACTAGTTTAATTATGTTGTGTTTTATGTGATCAAAAGCACCCACATTTTTCCAGTTTTTATTGGAGTTTAAGTCGTCCAAACTGCCCATGATAAAAAACTGACTCACCAAAAACTGAAAAAGTTCCTAGAAAACAGGCCTTTTTCAGAGAATAAGAAATTGGTTGACTTACTTTCCGGCAGCAGTGGATATAAATGAAGCCTTGAAAAGTTAATGCAACAATCTCTACAGGTTGATGACTTACAAACCCCTCTGTCTGCACAGAGGCGGTGTTGAAACAAACTTACTGCAGCCTCTGATCCATTATTAGGACTACCCTGTAGTGCAGGAAGAATCAGAATGGTGAAAAATGGTGTTTTATTTCCATTGTAAAAAAGGTCACAACTGCATTTAGATGCTGAATGAGTCAGAATTTTGTTTTTTTAATCATTGTTATTTATTTTTTCTATGCTTTGATTTCAGAGTAGGCTACACATTTCAGTAACTACTGGAAAATGGTGTTCTAAAATTTTTGGTATTGTATGTCTGTGTATGTATGCACTCCCCATTATCATACTGAACAGCCAGTTTTAGAATCTGTAAAGTCCTTTAAAGCTTCCTCTAGACAATCATTGCTCTATCCTCTAGTCCAAAATTAAAATTTTGCAATGGGATCACACCAGCTATGACATCCCTCAAAATGTTGATGTTAAAAGTACTCACTACTCATGGGTTTGACCACAACCATCTTTGAATTCGGCCTTCATTTGATTACGCTGATCCGCTGTCGCAGCCGGGAAACATGACCAAACTGAAACATTGTGTTCATCAGCTAACATTCATCTCTACACGGTACATCCACAGCCGCATGCATAAGCAGGGATTGGCAGTAGAATTGCATTTGTTTATCTGCACACAGCTTCACTTTTGAATTTCAATAGGATCACTGTATACTTGCAAGGCTCTCTTCGTCTTATAGCAAACAATGACACTGTAGATATTTGTTCTGCTCACAAAAGGTGACTAATGGATTTAGAGGAGAACAGGGCGTCATTAAAAAAAAATATATAAGGACACTCACTCCAATCCTCTAGCCACTATCAAACACGAATAGACAGTAAATGCACTTATTGCATATTCAAAATGTTCCAGTAACTGGCAGAAGTGGGACAAGATGATTGTTTTAAAAGTCACAAGTGTAATAAACTTTGATCTACAAAAGTTTGTAAAAACTTATGGTTAGAATAGATACATACATCATTTAAAAAAGTAAGTAATTACAAAAAGCACACAATTTTTTTAGATTGCAAAACAGTGACTGTGAATTTTTAAGAAGCTTCTTTCAGTAAAGTAGACCAAATCCATTGCTCATCACTTACGAAGCATATTTCTGTCATGTTTTTGTGCATTAAAAAATGCTTCTCTGAGCTCTGTACCCTGATAACGGCACATATCCCGTCCGCACCGCTTTCCCTCTGTGTCTGCTTGTTGACTTTAAACCATCAGTACTGTACATCAGGCCACAGAGACTAGATGTATCCCCTCATATTATAGCTGAAACACTAGTGTATGTGGCTGACGCAGCACCCAGTGTCATGATGGAAAGGGCACGTTACCTGCAGTCACATCAGTGCAATATAAGCTCTGTGATCACTGTAAATCATCTTCAAAAGACAGCCCACCTCAATGATTCAAGCCCCATCCATTCAGATTTAATATATTCGCACTCACTGTGCATCCTGGTCGTGCTCATTTACTCATTTTATGATGCTTTAATTATTGAACAGACTTGTGTGTAGATAGTTGTGTGATGGAATCAGGCAAGGGAGGGAAAAAAGACTATGCAAAAGTGCATTCCAAGAATTCAGTGGAAGTTTTAATGTCATAAGTGTCATAAGCATGACGGTGCAATTTAGA